TGACAAAAATGGATAAAAATGGATGTATCTATAACTAAAATACATCTAGATACATTCATTACTTCGACGAGTAATTCCGAACGGAGGGAGTAGACATGAAGAAAAAAAGAGGTAACATCAATGACAGTCATAAAACTTGCGCTGCGTGTTCAGTTCAGTGCTAAAACTTGTAAAATATGAATTTTCTTTTTTGCGGAAAAACTTCCAATCTATTCATCTTCAATCATGGCAGTACAACGAATACCAGAAATAAAAATTACATCTAGATTCGTAGACCACCTAGCGACGACTACAAGCACCGAAGCGAGCCGAAAGCGCGCCGCCGTCATCGCCCCTCCATCGCCGGAGCCGGGCACAACTTGTTGTAGTAGACAGTCGGGAAGTCGTCGTGCTAAGGCCCCATAGGACCAGCACCCCAGAACAGCAACCGCCGCCTATGAAAAATAACGTAGGTCGGAAGGATCCAAACCGAAGACACATGAACGTAGGCGAACAACGACGAGATCTGACCAAATCCACCGAAGATAGATCTGCCGGAGACACACCTCAATTTTTGTGGTCATCTAACTTGTTGTGTGGTGCAAATACGGTGTGTTCTACCATATCAGGACATACATCTTGCCCGCGTGGCATTGGCTTGAAGTAAGTATTTCTAGATAGCTCCCTCAATTTTTTAATTACGCAAAAAGCCCAGGTGTCCCCCCAGTCAGTGAATAATATAAGAGAAAAAAATGATAAATATCACATATAGATGGCTCGGTGCTCACACCACCACAGCCGATGACAATGATACTTCACAAGGATAACTACGTGTCATATCCTCATTTTAAAATACGTTGGCTTGTTAGCTCAAACGGCCGATGATCAGTGTAGCCCATTTTGCATCTTTGATTTTTGTTAGAAATTTGTAGATAGTATGGAAATTATGATCTCCATCAGAAAAATATTGTTTAAATACTTTTGTTATAAATATTATTAATACAAACGAACTAACTTACTTTCAAAATTGTTAATGTATTATTTCAAATATTTGTATATTTAAGACATTATTTATGAATTACGAAAATGTTAGTATAATTTTAAATAATACAAATATTTGTAAAACTATTCCAAAATATTATATGGACATTTGTATAGTTCAATTTCCATGCAATTACATATTCATAATTTAAAATTGAAATTATGGATATGAATATTCAGTCGTGTCTAATATATTACACGAGTTTATATTTAAAAGTTTTATTTACTAATCATCGTTTCTATGTATAATATTTTTAACACACTAATATTTGAACATAATTTTGTTACTTACATTTTACTAAGGGAAAAGTTTATAATCAACCGACTGATTTCTTGCGTGGCATCAGCCGCCCGCTCCGCCGTTCGATTCCACTCGCGCGTGTTCCGTGATGAGAGCGCCGCATGCAGGCTTCTGTGCATGATGCGGGTCCCCACTACTACTACGAGGTACATTTCATTTTTAAATCCTACGCCTAGTACTTTTTGGTGACCATGGTATTGCAACATCCTCTTTGTTGAAAAAAAATTATGCAACATTAGGTATGTTTCAAATCTTTCTTCCGTTGAAAAAAATTCCGCAACATTAGCTTTGTTGCAGAAAAAATTTCTGCAACATTAGCTTTGTTGCAGAAAAAATTTCTGCAATTTTTTCCGGCAACATCATCACAGTTGCAAAGTTTTCCGTAACAATACCATTGTTGCAAAAGTTACATCACGTCTCCGGACAAAGTCTCTGTTTCAGCAACAACCAACTTGTTGCAATTTGTGACACTCACGTGGGGAGATCTAACGGCGTGGGAGGTGGGCTTGTTTCTGCAACACCGCGCTTGTTGCGGGAGGTGGGGAACGTGGGTGGTACATTGGACGGCCAGCAGCGCGTCCATCCAACGGCCAGCCAGGCGGCGGATGTTTCCAATTCATCCACCGGCAGACGCCTAGCTGCCCCCTTTTACTAAATATTTTTTATATAATACTCAGGCTTATATGATTTTTTTTATTTACTAATCATTTTCTGTATGTATAGACAATAGAGCGTGAAGGGTGTTTTTGATTGCAGCCTCGTGGGTTCGAGACCTAGTGGCTCTCTTAATTTTATGTTAAAAAATCACTCATCTATGAGTAGTTTAGTTTTTTATAATATTTTTGAATTGTAATTTTACAAATATTTGGATTACTTTAAATTATACAAACATTTTTGTAATCCATAATATATTATTCTTACTGAGATCATAATTTACATACAAATTTTCAAAAAAAAAATCAAAGGTGCAAAATGGGCCCCACTGATCATAGCCCATTAGAGCTGGCAGGCCCAGCTGTTCTAAGAGAAGGCTTATAGAAATTAGTTATATTCTTATGAAACAACAAACGTTGTTGGGCCTATTTATTTGTCTGGTGTGCTCGCCTTCTTATGGTCGATAGTTCGAATCCCACCGCTCGAAAATGATATTTATCTCTTTTCTCTTATATTATCTGCACCTGGTTTGCTCGCCTTTTGAAGGTCGGTGGTTCGAATCCGGCCACTCCAAACGATATTTATCGCTTTTCTCTGAGATTGTTCACTGACTTAGGCATTTTTTGCGTAACTAAAAATATATAGAGTTATCTACAAAAAATTACTCCTAGCAACTGACATGTGGGCGCTGCCACGCTGGCATGGCATGTAGGCAGGGTGTACGCCATGATACAATAGAATGCACCGTATTTGCACCAAACAACAAGTTAGATGACCACAAATCCGTATTTTACAAGTTTTAGCACTAAACTGAACATCCACCGGAAGTTTTATGACTACCGGTGATATTACCTCCTTCGGAAACTATGTTAGATTAAATGCATCATCTTCTCGATCAGTACCTCTGCACAAACTAACTTCAGACCACATAAATGCTATATAGAGTATTGTACTAAATGAAACTTGTGCCCAAAATAAGACAACTTTATGGAGAAGGGGATAGTCTTGGCTTAAAACATACTGAAACCATTATTACAATGTTATTTAAAAAGTAAAGTCTTGGCTTAAACATACTCAAACCATTACAATCTCATAACAAAAGTAACATAAAACTTAAGGAACACCGCCAGAGCAATATGGATGCCTACACTCCCTTCCATCTATGGCAAAGAGGCTGAATACTTGTGTTCTTGTACGCATGCGCGTGTCGAGTCGTATCCCCAGCAGCGTTGACTTGAATTTGTGTACTGTTCTTGTACTTGTAGCCGATCGGTGCTTTATTAATTTAAAGCCGAGACAGCGTTTGGTCCAAAAGAAGATGCTCAAAATTTTCATCAACTCTTTCTTCTCTCTCGGACTTGAGATTATACATGCACAAGTAATTAGCAACAGCTAGTTGGCTTTTCTGGTAATAGACGCAGTTGGCATGGACGGATGGAAATTTATCAGCATTAACACACAAGCACCAACAATACAGATCTAAGAAGATGGCACAGTTGCCAATGTCCTCCACATGCTCGAGTTTATAGTTGTGAGTGTGTAATCTGTAGACCACGACGCCTTGTGCTAGCTTCATGATGATCAACACTTTTCCAGCAGATTCCGTTAGGAAACAACGTCCTACACAAAGCTTCCATAAAGATTTTTCGTCCAACATCATGGTATAGTCATTGTCAGATATCTCAGCAAGATCGGCCTTGTAAAACCTCATTAGATCAAAGATCCTTCTGGCCACGGATCCCAGGTCAGCACCGCGAATAGTGTAGATACCGCTGGTAGCCAGCCTGATCAAAGGGAAAGCACACATGTCCTCATAGATGACGAGAGACTCACTGTCAGGCTCAGCCATGTAGACCTTACGAGACGATTCATGTATAACCCAGTTATCATCCATGTAGTCCTTGCAGAAAAAGAAAATGGTGGGTGAAGAACCGGACTCGAGGGCAGCATATTCCACGATCTCGCAGGGTCGGTGCGCCATAAAACGGATCAAGTAGCCTGTGAAAGCGAGGAGACCATCTGTGGTGGTTCTGATAGAGTTATAGTGACGGAGCAGACCGAGTTCCTGGCGCAGGGTTCGGCCAGTGGCGGTGTTCACCAAGAGGCGCGTGCTGGAGCGGCAAGAGGCTCCGTTGATGTTGACCCAGTGACGGGGGTGGAAGCGAGGGTCCGGGGAATTCTTGGGGTCTTGGGTGGCGGAGCGCCAGCTATGGCAGACGGCACGGAGGTCCATGTAGTAGTCGACGTCACTTGTGCCTAGGAAGCGGTCGGCGATGCGGTTGATGAGGTCGGCCGGAAGAGAGGACCAGTCTGCGAAAAATTCCATGGTGGTACGCAGGAATGGAGGATCGCTGGCTGATCTAGTGATCTTTCCTGGTGGCAACCAAAACAAGGAAACAGGGATGGTGAGTACTACTAGCTACGAGTACTACTTCATGAAAACCGAGGCTCGTTAGAATGTCAGCAGGCGCGACTGCAAATACGGATCTACTTCATGGTAAATGGTGAAGGACGGATCTACTTCACAAGCAGGATTGAGGCCACCGTGGGGGTGCTAGCCAAACTTTCTCTGTGAGGTCAACGGGCGCGGCCACCACTAGGGCTACTTGGAACAGAAGTAGAGAACAGAGGAAGGAGAGGGATGAACTCACCGTGGCCAGGAAGACCGAGAGCGTGGGCGTGGGCGTGGGCGTGGTTGTCCTGATGCCGTAGTCGAGGACGTGGTGCTGCTGGGTGCGACCGGCGTACGGCGGCCGCGAGATGAGCGCGGATTGCCGGGAGTCGGGGGAGGGATCGCCGGTCCGGGCCGGATTAGCACCGGATCGAGATGAATCTCGGTGTGCGGAGAGCGCCGGAGCCGGGAAGGAAGGGGATCGACAAGGGTTTGACTAGAGGAGAGAGCACCAACTGGCGTGATATACCGAATCCTGCATGTTGCTTGCTTTGCTTTAACAAATGATGAAGGAAAACCATTCGCGTCGGTGGGAGATCGCACGCGTCCCAGTCGAGTCGACCCCACTCATCCTTATTTCACGCGTACACGCGTTTCAGCCCTAAAAAAATAGTAATATACACGCGTTTCAGCCATTTCTATCTTCTTTGCCTGAGTAAAAAAATACTGAAACTTTTTTATAAATAATAGAGATACAAAAAATTACTGAAAAAATAAATCCAGAGTACCTGATTTTTTTCGAAAACATACATAGTCAACCGATATACTCTCGATTTTTTTTTATAAAGTACTCTAAATAAAAACCAGGCAATTCTATGTATTTTTTTTATTTTCTGAAAGTTGTTGATGAGCTGGATGTAGTTGCAAGTTTTGTTTTGACCACAAACTTTGACAACACATGCAAACCAAAAACACACTAGCCCACCCAATGACATAGGTCGCCTGACCTGTCAAACCAAGTCATCTAAACCACGGCAGACCCTTCAAATCACCTAAGACGCAAAAACACACTCGCCTCCTATGGTGACCTAGGTCGACTCACCCGCCGAACCAAGTCACCTAAACCACCGCACACCTCGTAAATCGCATAAGATACGAAACATACTCGCAGACCCAGGTGACCTAGGTTGCCGCAGCCGTCGAACCAAGTCACCTAAACCACCGAACACCTCCCAAATTGTCAACTACACGAGCGTCCACCTTGGTGACCTAGGTTACCGCGCCCGCCGAACCAAGTCGCCTAAACCACCGTACACCTCCTAAATCGCGTAAAGACACAAAACATAGTCGCACACCCCGGTGACCTAGGTTGCCGCACCCGTCGAACCAAGTTTCCTAAACCACCGAACACCTCCCAAATCAC